ATATGAAAGTGCACATTCTGATTGAGTGGCTTTGGTGAAGTATCTGAGATTCCCAGATACTGCTCTTGTTGCTGCTCCATCGACCACACTTTGAATAGCAAGACTTTGAGTCACTGCATCCCTGAGGCCCTGGGAGCATGCTATAGATGAGGAAGACGGAGCTCAAAGAACAAGTAAGTGGCTCAGTCACACTTAAACCCAGGTTTGCCTGCCTCCAAAGCTTATGCTCATAGCCAAGGCCCCCAAGTAGATGCTGATATTAATGTTAGGCCAGGTCCCTGAGTCCTTTCCTTGCCATCCCTTCTCAGATAATGATGCTGAAATCGGCTCATCAGAGGTTGAGCCTCAGAAACATGTTTTCCTGGAATAGCCATACTCCATTATTTCTTACTTATAAAGCAAGAACTACTCGTGTTCAGGGTGAATATCCTGGAGCCTTGTAAGGTGAAACCATTACCTCATGCCTGTGTTCCAGCCTGCCCTGGTTATAGCTCATCTCTCAGGCCCTCCTGACTTTCAGGGGATGGTTGTCTAGGATTGCAGCTGCCCTGGGGTTTCACTTTCCCTTCTTACCTACGTATTCACTTTGTGCCCCACCAGCTTCCAGGTCTCTGTTGCCCCAGCACTCCCACTTGGACTTCTTCCCTATCTCATCACCACCTCTTAGTATCTTTTTCCCATAGTACAAGCCAGTTGCTGTTGAGTAAACTGGATCCAGGATGACTCCACGTATGTCAGAGTACAATTGTCCTCCACAGGGTTTTCAATGATTGACTTTTTAAAAGTAGATCACCAAGCCTTTCTTCTGAAGTATCTCTGGATGGACTTGAAAATACCACCTTTCAGTAATCAGCCAAGCATGTTTTGTACCACCCAGTGACTCCTTTTCCATAGGACTTAGGGGTTTTCAGTAATATCTGAGATCCTGAAAAGGATAAAAGGATGTGAGGTGGGCCCCTGATGAAGGCTAGAGGACAAGACTCAGGCTCAGTAGGAGCAAAAGATACAGTATCAGTCACTGTGGTGTCAGCAGAAGGCCCGGTTGTTAGTCAGGGATTGCAAACAAGCACAGAGTTTACAGGGTCCTGGTGTGACGCTGTTGGTTAATGCAAAGCCCTTTGAACTGCAAGGTCAGCAGTTCAAGCTCACCAGTTGCTCCTCAGAACCCACTTGATGGCACTTAACAACAACAACTTAAAAAACTTAAAAAAACAAAACAAAACAAAACAAAAAAACAGCATGTGTGAGTGATGGAGGGAGGGGATATTGGTGCCTGAGAGACGCCGAACCATCTGTAGAAACCCTACTCTTCCCAGGGTCCTCTGTTCTTTCTTCTCCACTGAGCTGAAGACAGAGCACCTGCCCCTTATATCACATCCTGACTCCCCTTTCTCTGGTTTGGACCCATATTTAAAAAAGATTCTTAGAACGTTTATGCAGAAAGGTAAGTTAGAGTATGGCAGATGCACCAAACTTTTTATGTAAATGGCCGGTTGGTAAGTATGCTATGCTTTGCTGGCTATATGAACTCTGTCACTGATAGCCATCTCTGCCTTTGTAGTACAAAGTCAGAGATAATATGTAAATAAGGTATCACGATAAAACTTAATTGAAATTTCATATGTCAAAAAATATGATTCTTCTTGTGATACCCCCCCCCCCCCCCAGTGGTTTAAAAATGTAAAAACCATGCCTCTGTCACAGAACTAAGCTGTTCTTAGCTTAACATTGGTGGGCTGAATTTGGCCCATGGAATTTACCAATTACAGATTTGGAGTTCAGCGTCTCCCAAAATGTCTTTCTCAGGGACGATGGTCTGACATTTATGGAAAATGCTAAGTTAAAGTTAAATACACACACCCCCCCTCAACATTTCCACCACCAACATGGGACTTCTCAGTGTCTTTAGTATTCTCAGGATCATCACACATTTCTAAGAGGGAGCTAGGGTTCAGCACACCAGGCTTCTTCGATTTACAAGACAATGAAATCTTTTTTTTGTTTTGTTTTGTTTTCATGGAGTGTCTTGTGAGACCAACATTCCTCAAGGCCAGCTTTTGTGGAATCTGCTTCTAGAAGCGCTGCCCCAGTTGACACCTCTCCCACACCTCCTTTAACACAGGGAAAGTTCAAGCAGTCTGCGTTCTGCTAGCTGCAGGTAGAAGCAGACCTGCTGACAAGATGCTGCACTGTTGAATTTTTTCCCTGGGGGAACCCAAAGGCGGAGCAGCACAGGTTGAGGCCAGCCTACCAGGTGGCATGGCTCCAGGGCCCCCAGCTTTTCAGATCAGCCCACGTATACACTTCCTTTTCTTCCTAGTTACCAGAAGCAGACCAAATCCACTGTCAGTTCCTACACACAGAAAGCAGGACAGCTCCATAGGATTTCTAAGGCTGTTTAACACTTGAATGAAGAAAACAATCTCAACTTTCTCCTAAGAAGTGGCTGAGCTTTTGATTAAAAGCCCAATGCTTAACCCACTACACCACCAGGGCTCCTTCCCAGAAGCTGAATGCTTATAACCCTAGGGATCATGAGTGGCTGACTGTCGGGAAGCAGGCAGCCTGAGGGCTTAGGGAAATGTTGTTAAGTGCCATCGTGTCAGTTCCAACCCACAGTGACCCTGTATAGGGTTTCCTAGGAGCAGCTGGTAAACTTGAACCTCCAACCTTATGGTTCAAACTGACTTTGCAGTCCAGGACATAAACCCATAGCGTCATACGATGTCTCCATGGGAAGGTATTCATGAGCTATCCTTAGCCTCCGGGCTCCTTTCCCATCAGTGGCGGGTGGTGATAGTGTGTTGTGGAGTCGATTCTGACTCATAGTGACCATGTACAGTGCTTTTGAGGCTGTCGGTCTTTACAGGAGCAGAAAGCCTCAATCAGTGGTAGGGCATAATTATGGAATTATTTTGGCAAGAATGAAAACGGGTGTACTCTGCACATTAAAGCATACTTAACGTGTGTATAAACTTTCCAAAACACCTTTGTGTCATTTTTACACTTGCTTCTTACACCTGCCCTCTGGGCAAGGTAAGACAGTATGTGCTTTGTTTTGTTTTTTAACTTTTATAGATGCAGAATCCAGAGCTCAGAGAAGTCAGGAGATTTTCCCCAGGTCACACAGCCAGCGGCAGAGCGAGAACTTGGACCCCCGTCTCACCTCATTGCAGATGCAGCCTGCTCCATGGCCCATTGTCTCAGAGAGAAAGGTGACTAGACAGTGACTATGAAAGCATGACCAATTTCCCTTTCTCCACCTCCCTCTTCCCTCCACCCCTTCACCCACCCAAATAGACCAATCCCCACAAAGTCTTACTGGCTTGCACTCCTTTGGAATGATTTCCACAGCTGGGACACGAGCCTTCCACCCACAGTGATATCCCTGAGGAGTAAAGAGTAAGGGTGCCTGTCCATTTTTTCCTGGTGATAACAGCCATCTGCCAAGAGCTAACCCTCAAGTATCACTTCCAGCACCTGAGGTGAGTAAATGGGATCCTCCAATATGTTGCTTTGTAGTATTAGGTTGTTACCTATTTAGGAATGAAGGATGAGGGAGGATGGCAGAAGTCAACTTTTTAAGTATTTATGTAAGAATAAGGTATATACCTGGAGTCCTGGTAGCACTGTAGGATAAGCATGGATTGCTAACTGCAATGATGGTGATTCAAACACACCAGCCGCTTTTCAGAAACCCTCTACATGATCCGTATGAGTCGACACGAAGTCGACCGCACTTAGCAACAACAAAGCATAACTATAGATGAAGAGTTGCATTGCTTTCTCCAATGTAACACCAAAAAGGATTTAGACTGGGTGGGAGGTGGAATTTACTGGCAAGAAGAATTCTTTGATACCCAGGGAGAAACTTTGGAGAAATTGCAAAGCAGGTGGAGTTTGAATTGAAAGAAGAGACTCAAAAGATTTTGAGGGAGATAGCTAGAGACAGAGGAAGACTGAATTTCATCAAGTCTTAGATCCGTTTCTTAAATGGCTGTTGGAAGAAATAACGAAAAAGGGAATGAGGAAGGAATGAAAGAGAGAAGGAAAAGAAAACAAATTATCTGCACCTAGTTATGATTGTGGTTCTTGTTAAGTGCCATTGTGTCAGTTCCAACTCACAGCGACCGACCGTGTACAGGATTTCCAAGGAGTGGCTGGTGATTTTGAACTGCCGACCTTGCAGTTCAAACCGACCTTGAGCTTGAGTACTTCTCCGACAACATCACACAGAATGGTATTAAATTCCTCTGGCTTGGAAGATCTTTATACAGTCATTCCCAACTGGCACTTTAGTGGAAAGTTTGAGGGTGATTCATCTGGAAACCTCATTCCTTTCTTTTGTTTAATAACCTGAAAAGATAATTCTTAGAGTCAAGAGTGAGTAGGTCACCTGATGTGGAGAGTGGCTGTCTGATCCTGACTATAGTCTTGTGGCCCCTCCTTATGGCCAGGATTAACCCCGTGGTCCCCTCACAATGAGGAATCAAGAAAGGGGTTCTCCTGCAGGAGAAGTGTGCATGGAGACACAGGGCAGGACTATGTCTGGCCTCCAGAGTCTGGCTTCCCTCGCTGTGCTCTTAGCTTGGCACTTCACAACCCACTGCGTTTTTTTTACTCCTCTTGGTTAAATTCTGTCTAGCAGGTTGGAGGCTGGAGATCACTGTATGAAACAAGAAAGGAGGTGCAGACTGTGTGTGATGTGAATGGGTATGGTGGGAAGTACACAATGACATAGCAAAACCAGTGAGTGTGAGATTGGGGGGCAGAAAGACCCAACTCAGTGCACCTCAATGAGACCACGTGTCTCTAGTTTAGCACTGAGGACTAGTGGTCTGGTCTCAGCCTATCCAAGGAAGGTTACTGTGGGGTACATACATCACTTTGTGCTGAGTCTGTACTTGGAGACAGTTCACATGCATGCTCAGTGGGCCTGCTTCTCAGGAGATGCCTCCCTTTCTTTCAGCAGTAATCCCCTGGGTCTTCATTCACTACAGATGGCCACCATCCCCTGCCTCAGTTTTTTCCTGCTTCTCTGGAGCCAGGTGCCAGGGGTCCAGGGCCAAGAATTCCGATTTGGACAATGCCAAGTACAGGGAGTAGAGCTCCAGGAACTGAGGAAGGCCTTCCGGACCATGAGGGACACTGTGGTGAGTACAGTGTTGTTCTCAGCCAGCCCTGGGCTTGTTGTGGATGGAATTTTCATGGTAGAGCCCTTAACAACTTGCAGATCATTTTTCTAAACAACAACTCTGTGAGGTCAGGTGGCATCACAAGTCCCACTTTATACATGAGGAAACTGGGGCTCAGAGAGATGAAGTCAGTCTATAATAAAGTAAATAAAGCTCCTGGGGGATAAACAAGGGAGCCTGGTACATGCAGGCTTTAGCTATAACCCAGGGTGATGTAAGTCTTGGACTATCTTTGAAACCTGCTCGAGTTTTCACCTACTGCTTTGACTAAAGGTTGGAACAGACTTGACGGCACTTAACAACAAAAGATAGAAACAATGGCTAATCCTGAGGTCTAATGGGATAGCATGTGGGTCCTCCTGAGTCTGAAAGTGCTCCACTACATGTACCACAAATGTCCTGAGCTCCTTAAATGAGGATCCAGATGCCAGGGGTTACAGCAAACTAGAGAGCTTAAGGAGGCAGCTTGGGGCCAGGCAAGTCCCAGCCTAAGGCACAGCACACCTGGGGTGTGCTTGAAATGAACTTGGGCCGTAGCTTCCGTACCCAACCCAAACAGTTTCTCTATCTGAACAATGAGAAAGGGAGACAAATGGGCTGTAAGAACCCTTCCTCCCAAGGACTCTTTGACTCTAAACCAAACAGCTGGAATGAGTCTTTGGGCTGCAGAGAAGCTCCAAGGATGAAAGGTAGCTCAGAGGTGCAACTCTCCAACCACTGTCTGTGGAATACGGAGTCCAAATGAGGAATCAATTCTTAAAGTGAACAAGCTTATTTCCTCTTCGTATCGAAAGACAGAGGATTCAAACAATTCCCTCCACAAGTCTGTGTCCACTTCCTGGGATTGCATTTTCTCTTGAGGGAAATTTTCCTGGTATCCATTGGCCAGAAATTTGTACCCTCTTTTCCCTGAGACAGTACTGTGCAGTCCTACTTGGGTGCTCTTTTGCTCCCTCTGGTCTCTGAAATCTCATACCTTTAAGGGGCACATGTTTGTAGGGTTGGTTTCCATGTTGACCACCAATCTGGAGACTTCTTTCTGTTCCACAGCAAACTCAGGATCACAACACAAGTGTTCGACTACTGCGGACGGAGATTCTACAGAATGTCTCGGTAATCAGACTTTGGGGAGGATGACATGTCACTAGGAGTAGGGGGTAAGGAGGCTGCCTAGAGAGGCTCATAAAAACCCTCACTTCTTCTCTGGGCTGACACTACCCTGGGCAGTAGCCAGGGAATTCAGTCTCTGTGTAATATATGCATACATCGTGGGAAGAGGAGGTGGGAACTAAAGCTGGGAAACATTTTTCTCAATTTACCCAGAGAGTTGTCATCAATCTTTATTTCTACTCTGCTTGCCAATTGGTGTCTTCCTTCCCTCTCTTCTGCTTGTATCCTTTTCTCTCACCTATTACTTTCTTTCTAATTAACCTTCTAATCTGTCAGTGAGCACCAACATATGGAGCCCCTGTCACTGCAAGGATAGTATACAGAGCCCTGATCACTGCAAGGATAGCATACTGAGCCCCAATCACCACAAAGAACCAAGCTTCACACAGTAGAGCTTGCAGGGACCAATCCCAGTGTTCTAGGACATTAGTTTTATTTTCTCTTCATTTCTTTTCTTTCTAGTCCTTTTCCCACCAACTCTCAGCCACCAAAGTGAGCCACTTCTCAGGGTCCACTGTACTTCCCCACACCATGCCCTCCCCATAGCTATTGGAGAGGCAAAGTGGTATAAAGAACGAATTTTAACCATATGGGAAGTCTTGAAAGTTTTGGAAGCCTATGCTTACTTTGCTTATTGGGTAATCTGGCATTGTTCTCAACTGTATTTTTTATCTAGCCCTGGGGGCTAGAGGGTGAGAGGGTGGGTGGGTGGGCAGAGGGCTGCACAGTAACCTAGACTCTCTTCAGGATGCTGAAAGCTGCCACTTTATCCATTCGCTGCTGAAGTTTTACTTGAGAACAGTCTTCAAAAACTACTACAGTAAGGCAGCTGAACTCAGGATCCTGAAGTCATTTTCAACTCTCACCAACAACTTTTTTGTCATCATGTCAAAACTGCAACCCAGTGTGAGTAGAGTACAGCCAGGATTTGGGGTCACAGGCAATGGTGTGTTTTGAGTGGCGCTGTGGGTTAATGCATCAGACTGCAAAGTCGTTTTAACTGTAAGCTTGGTGGTTCAAGCTCACTAGCTGGTTCTTGGAAACCCAAAACAGGGTCACTATGGGTTGGAACTGAATCTATGGCACTTAACAAAAACAACAACCCCTTCCCCTATCTGGTCCTGGCTTTTATCCCGCATACACAAGTCCTGAGATATCCTGAAAAGACCAGCAGTTATGGGCTCCAGTCTAGATCTGCTTCTGACTATGTGGGTGGCCCTTTTCAAGGTGGTCTCTGAGCTTCAGTTTTTGTATCTGTGAAATAGGGATGATCACCCCACATTACAGGATTTCTGTGAGAATTAAAGGTGGGTGGTGCCTTCCACATTGCAGGAGTTAGGCCTTGGCTACTTGAGAACCAGGGATTCGGTGCTGTCTTCTCAGGCCTTGAGAATCCTGCTAGACCCAGGAGTAAGATGGAGGAGGCTTTCTTCTTCCCCTACTCAACACTAAGAACAACTTCTTTATGTTCTGTTCCAGGAACAAAATGAGATGTTTTCCGTCACTGAGCATGCACACAGGCAGTTTCTGCAGTTTCAGCGAGCATTTAAACAGGTAATCAGGGTCAGAAGCTCTGAGCTTGCCTGGACCACAATGAACTGTTAAAGGAGGTGCTTCAGAACCCTGATGCAGGATTAATACAGGGCTGACCCCAAAGCCACATGAATTAGCAAGATACAGCTATAATTAGTACAGGAGCTTGGTGGTGCTTTAGGATAAGCACTGGACTGCTAAATGAGAGGTCAGAGGTTCAAACCCACCAGCTACTCCATGAAAAACAGATGAGGCTTTCTGCTCCCATAAAGATCAACAAATATGGAAACCGTCTACAGGGATGCTATGAGTTGGAATCGATGTGATGGCAGTGGGTTTGGGGGTGACTTTGCATAGACACCACAAACTAAGTGGTATGTGAGTTTTCAAGCTGAAATGCAGTCCAGTGCTGATCATACAGCACCACACCAGGAATCTTTGTTTTTGTTGTTAGGTGCTGTTGGGTTGGTACTGACTCATAGCGACCTTATGCACAACAGAATGAAACACTGCCCGGTCCTGCACCAACCTCACAATCGCTACTACATTTGAGTCCATTGCTACTGTCACTGTGTCAGTCCATCTTGTTGGGGGTCTTCCTCTCTTTCTCTGACCCTCCACATTACCAACCATGATATCCTTCTCCAAGGACTGGTCCCTCCTGATGTCCAAAAGTATGAGAGACCAAGTCTGGCCAACCTGGCTTCCAAGGACCACTCTGGCTGTACTTCTTTCAACACAGTGTGGTTTGTTCTTTTGGCAGGCCATGATACCTTCAATATTCTCCTCTAACACTGTAACTCAAATGCATCAATTCTTCTATGGTCTTCCTTATTCACAGTCCAATTTTCACATGCTGTTGTTGTTGTTATGTGCCGTCAACTCAATTCTGACCCATGGCTACCCTATTTAGGGTTTACGAGGAGCAGCTGGTGAGCTTGAACCGCCGATCTTTCAGTTCAAATAGGTTCATAGTCTGGCATATTAACCCAGAGTGCCACACAGTCTATTGAAAATACCATGGCTTGGGTTAGGAGCATCTTAGTCCTCAAACTGAAATCTTTGTTCTTTAACACCTTTAAGAGGTCTTGTGCAGCAGTTGTTTGATTTCTTGACTGCTGCTTTTATGAGTGGTGATGGTTGATCCAGGCAAAACGAAGTCTTTGTCAACTTTAATCTTTTCACCATTGATAAGGATGTTGTTTATTGGTCCAGTGGTGAGGATTTTCGTTTTCTTTACATTGAGATGCAACTCATACTGAGGCTGTGGTCTTTGATTTTCATCAGTAAGTATTTTAATTTCCCTTCGCTTTCAGCAAGCAAGATTGTATCTTCTGCATATCACATGTTGTTAATGAGTCTTCCTCCAATCCTGATGCCACATTTTTTTTTTTTTTTCATATAGCCCAGCTTCTCGGATTATTTGCTCAGCATTACAGATCTTTATAAGGTTAATTCAGGAGTCCCTGAGTGGTGCACCTGGTTAACATGTTCCATTACTAACCAAAGGTTGGAGGTTTAAACCCACCCAGAGGCAATCTACTTCTGAAAAATTAGTCATTGAAACCCAAAGGAACACACTTCTACTCTGACACAAATGGGGTGGCCATGAGCAGTTGACAGCAACTGTTTTTTGTTTTTTAAATAAGGTCATTCCACTACTGAGGACTTGCTTTGTGAAAGAGTTTTGTGGGTACTTAAACTGAACAGCTGGAGTCAAAAGTGAGGGAGAAAGCAAGAAGACAACCCTCCATATACACCTACATTATTTTCCATAATGTTCAAATGGCCTAGTTTGGGAGAAAAAAAATCTGAGAAATTGTATTATCTTTACCTGAATTAAGACAACAAGGAAAATCCAAATTTCATTCCCAGCTTCCTAGAATATATGAGTTTGATAATTTTTGTGAGGAACAGATATATCAGCCTATAAATAAATGGTGAAGAACAATAACATTCACTGAAAAGGGACCACTGTGGGCCTCAGTCTCCTCATCTGTACAGTGGACTAAGGTGATGGAGTCTATGGTCATGTGAGGATTCTATGATACTTCAGGGTCTCCAGATGCTTCTTCCCTTGTTGTTCCCTGTCTGCTCACTGACTCAATTGTCCTCACTCCTGAAACAGATCACAGAGTAGGTGGGCATGTGGTGATGGGCAGCTGAATTTATCAGAGACTTCCTGGTGCAGTGCTGTAGGATAAGCACTAGACTGCTAACTGCAAAGTCAATGCTTCAAACCCATAAACTGTTCCTCATAAACCCGATACAGGGTCGCTCTGAGTCAGAACTGACATGATGGCACACAACAATACCCCAAAGGTGACGCAGCCTATGAACTGGAGTCAGACATGTCTCGGGAACAGGAGTTGGGAAAGAACCTATTCTCGTAGCTAATACAGCAGATCTTCAACTTTTCTTTCCCTGCAGTTGGATATAGAAGCAGCTCTGACTAAAGCCGTTGGGGAAATAGACATACTCTTGACTTGGATGGAGAAATACTACCAGCACTGAATGTCTAAGCCAAACTAGTCTTCCTCGGCTCCGTGTCATTTCAAACGGGTATCCCTTCCTGTGCTGCTCTCTGGGGCACTTCACACCCTCTGCCATGGGCCCCAGTTCTGGTCCCAAAGACCTCCTTCTTCAAGTAGCCTCACCGATAGCCACGGAAGGCTCCCATGGATGCTGTGAATAACCTGCAAAGCAGATTCCTGTATTTATTACAACTCTATTTCATTGCCATCAGTGTTTTAATTGATGTTATATTTATTTGTGACACTATAAGCTCTGCAGAAGCCCCAGGGGGAGTTTTCATGCTTCTCTTTCATTCCCTAAAATACCTGCCATTCTGTAGGGCAGAGGGTTGGGGCTTCAGCAAATGTTGAATAAACTGGATTTTCAGCCTGCTCTGTGAATTGTTGAAAAACAATGGGATATGAACTTGAATTTTGGGAATGGAAGCCACATTGTCTTGATGTGTGAGGAGACAGCACTGGGGTGGGAGCAGAAGTATTGATCTGAGATGTCAAAGTTCACAGATATAATATTGGTTAAAGTGCCTGGCACAACGCAAGTTCCCATTGAATACAACAGCCCCGTCTACGTTCCCCACCCCACCCCTCTGCCTCTTCTCCTTGGGCATCTTCATTTTATGCTAGTCATTCTTTCCTTAGCTGCCACTTGAGAAGGTAACAGTATCAATATGGCATTGCTGATGTTGTCACTGTGCCTGGATGTACTGTCCAGTCTGTAAAGACTAGTAAATACCAGCTAATAAAAGGTGCGGTTTCTGGACAAGTGCCCCATGAGGCTGAGCTCTGCGTGACTGGGAAAGGCCATCTTCCTCACAGCAAGACTTGGCAGTCTCTAGTCTCAGGCTCCGGCTGAACTTTGGGGCCGCCTTAAATCCAAAGACATAGTGCCTGACCTTGCTCAAAAAACCCTCAAATTAAAGAGTGCATGTAGGAGATAGGATGTCTCTTTTTCCCTGATGGAAACGCTACTGCAGAGCCCCTGGTCTCCCCAGGAGCCCCAGACCACTTCCCTCCCCATCTTGTTGTTATTTGTAACTGGCAAAGAGATAAGGTGTTATTTCTGAAAACAGAGAAGTGCAATGGTTCAGGATATAGGAGTCCTAGAGTAGACCAATAGCGTAAGCACTGCATCGCAAAGTTTTTGAATCTCAAGGTCATGTCCAAATTCACCAGCTGCTCCTTGGAAACACTATACAGGGTTGCTATGAGTCGGAAATGACTTGACAGCAACAGTTAAGATGCATGCACAAAGATCAGGCCCCAAAACTGTCTAAAAGGAGAAATGCTAGGGGCAGAACACTTGTGTGCATCAAGGCAGGATAATTGGAGTGAAAGGGATTTATATGTAGAAGTTATCTGCTTCTTAATTGTGGGCCTGACTTTGATATGCCTTGCCTTTCATTAACCAGCAAGGTTAAGTGCATCGGGCCCTAGTTAAGTATGGTTCTGAAAATGTAGAATCCTTTGCTACATCAATATACATTGTCCTGTTCCCAGGACACAAATTAAGTGGAAAGTTCACTGGCAAGAAAACGCCTTAGAATCAGGATAAACCTGTTCCCAGGGGTGTCCCCATGCCAGCCCCTTCCTAGCTTCCTGGCTAGAGGTAACCTACCCACCAAATGCAATGCCATCAAGTCAAGTCCAGCTCCTAGTGACCCTAGAGGATGGATAAAATAGAATTGCTCCATAAGATTTCTGGGGTTGTAAATCCTTATGGAAGCAGGCTTCATCGTTCTCCCATGAAGTGACTGGTGGATTTGAACTACCAGTTGTTTGGTTAGCAGCTGAATGCTTTAACCACTGCACCAAGAAGGCTCCTTGAAGCAGCCCAGGGCCTTACGTGAGGCTCAAGCCTGTGAAAGGCTCTTGAAGCAACAGACGTGCCTATCTGCAGTCAAGAACATTAAACAAGCACTGTAAATCCCACAGCCTGGAAAGACAATAGATTCCATTAGGATAAATATCCTAATTGCTAATTCAAATCATATGGACTGGAGACCAGTGTTGATGTGGGCAGTGGGAGATAATGGGGGCTCTAAGAACTGATGGAACAGGTGTTGGAACTCAGCAGACAGGTGAAACTCATTGGTAAAAAGGTCTGGGCCCTGGAGGACAGCTGGGAAGGCGAGTCAGGGAGGGAACGTTGATGTAGTCATCTGAATCAGCATCCTCTATCTTTGCAGGAGGCTGGTGGCAGCAGCTCACATAGTCACAGCTTGTCTTCAGGGATGGGTAATGGGACCAGAGAGCTTCAGATAGCTGGGAACAACCAAAGACAGACATATTAGATCAGGGCAGAGTGATACAGTGTCTCTCCAGGTGGCACTGTTCCATGTGCCTGGTTGTTGACTTCTAGCGGGCAAAGACACAGACAGGTGGCTGAGCTCCAAGTAGCCCAGCCCTAGGGATTTTTAGGGTGACGTCTCACCCTCGATAACTGGAAAACACTGAGATCTAATGTGGGCAGGTAATACCTTACATGGGATTCAGGCTACAATCACATGGCTCAATACAAGTCTGAAGAAGACCCAGGTGCTGAAGGAGTTTCCCCTCAGGGATTAGGTGATGTGATCAGTGGAAGAAATGTGCATTTCCTAGGGAGTTATTAGGAAGTGGGGTGAGTCATCTTCTGTACCTCTGTAAGAAACCGGAGAGGCCATGACGTGTTGTGACAGTGCATTCCAGGAAGGGGCTGGGGCAAAGCAAGTCTCCAGGGTATAGTGGAGTAACAAGCCAAAAAGAATCTCACTCCCTGGATGACTTCATGAAGACGCCACCCTTTACTCCTTCTACCAGCACCACCACAAGCACCCCTAGATCTTCATTTGAGTGGAAAGTAGACCTTCATCTTGTAAGTCCTGTGTTTGGAGGTCTACGTTTGAATTATGGGGCACTGATAGTTCAGCTCTCACTTTCCACGTGAAACTCAGGTTCAATTCCTCACCCAGGTGCCATTGCACAGCCACCACTTATCTGTCAGTGGAGGGTTATGATGCTGGATGGACTTTAAATAGCTTTCAGACTAAGATTAGGAAGAAAGGCCTGGCAAACTACTTCTGAAAATCAGCCAGTGAGAACATATGAATCATAATGACCCAACTCATGACCAATCAGGGCCAATCTGATGGCAGCCAATACCACCTTAATTAAAACAAGGAATTTGCTATACATAGATTTTTCTGGTTCTTGAAGTAATTGTGTTTTCACCACTGTGGGTTTCTTTAGGGAAAAAAAAAAATCTTAGTTTTTAAATCAAAGACACTAATAAAGTTTGAGGGTTTTTTGTTCTTTTCTTTTTTCAACCTGTCTGCCAATAGTCAATTGAGAGCAAAACAAGTTCCTTGTGTCCATTTCTAGATGTAAAGAATTGTTGTTAAGTGCCGTCGAGTCGGTTCCAACCCATAGCGACCCTGTACAGGGTTTCCGCGGAGCTGCTGGTAGTTTCGAACCACTAACCTTAAGGTTCGCAGCCCGATTCGTAACCACTACACTACCAGAGATTTAAAGAATGGTTAAAGCTTATCTACATCTCTCCAAGGCATCATCTAGGCCCGGCTTGACTGATGGATAAATGAGCCTCTTCCACCTTAAAGAATTTACTAGAACATTCTCCCTTATATCATATTACAGTGAAACAGTCTGGATAGCTTCCATGTTTTTAGACGCTCCTACAAGTCTAATCTTTTCCATATGAAGCAAAAATCCACTGTCATCAGGTGCTTCTAACTCGAAGAGACCATATATAGGGTTTCCAAGTCTGCAGATCTTTATGGGAGTAGACAGCCTCATCTTTCTCCCATGGAGCAATTGGTGGGTTTCAACCGCCAACCTTGTTAGCAGTCCAATATTTATCCTACAGCGCCACCAGGGCTCCTTTCCACATGAACACCCGTCCTATATTTGTAGTTGTTGTTAAGTGCTGTGGAGTCGGTTCCAACTCATAGCGACCCTGCACAGGGTTTCCAAGGTTGTAATTCTTTACAGGAGCAGAAAGCCTCATCTTTCTCCCGTGGAACTGCTGGTAGTTTCGAACTGCTGACCTTGAGATTAGCAGCCCGATTAGTAACCACTACGTTGTTACCGTTTATTATCCCATTAAGCTACTAGGAGTCCTAGTGTGGTGCTGTGGGTTAATGAGCCAGACTGTAAAGCTGTTTCAACTGCAAGGTCGGCGGTTCAAGCTCACCAGTTACTCCTAGGAAACCCTATACAGGGTCGCTATGAGTCGGAACTAATCCGAAGGCACTTAACATTAAGGTACTAGCATCGGAGTCCTGGTATGGTGCTATAGGATAAACAATGGACTGCAAACCACAAGGTTTAAACCACCAGCCGCTCCTTGGAAAACCTATATAGAGTCGCTATGAGTCGGAACCGACTTAATGGCCCCTAACAACAAAAATAACAATTTACTAGCATCAGCACACATTTATTCCAGGAAAAATGCATGGTTAAAAGTCTTAAAACTACGTTTACCACAATTCTTTGGTAGTCAATTTACCGACACCATCAAAGGAAACCAATGTATCTTGTTCCCCTGACTTTGTGACTAAAACCTGTTGCAAAAGCCCGCTCTTGGTCGCAAAGTAATCGCTACATTGGACAATTGCGCTTGCTCAGATTTGAAGCCTCCAGTACCTCCTGTCTGTTAATCAAGGGTCTAGGCGGGGCTTACCAGAGACTGGGCGGAAGGCTCGGGTGCTCCTGAGCTTGAGAGAGGTTCCTGCTGGGAACCTAAAGAGGACCGGTAGGATCTAGATGAGGGCGTGGCCGAGGGGCCCGGCTCCACCCTCAATCCCAGCCCGATTCTACCGGAAACCTGACCAGGACCAGCAGGCTCCGCAGCGCACCCTCAGGTCTGCTATGTGTCCACCCTTGCAGCCCGCCCACAGGCTCACTCACTTGCTGCCTCTGCAACCCGGGCTCGCAGCGGGCAGGCGCTGTAGATGTTTTGGGAGCGCTGCCGCTGAGACACTCGGGGCCGCTGCGACAACCGAGTTCGCTGGGAGGCCTCCAGGGCGCGCATCCTCACGGCTAGGCGGCGGACCCTCCTGGAGAGGACTTCTCGGCAAAGCCACGGGGAGGGAGGGAGGAAGGGGTATGTGGCTACCCCTTCCCACGCTCGTGCTTAGAAAACTAAAGCAGCCCTCCTTGGCAATGTCTGATTTGAAGGGGCTCGGTAGACGTGTGCGTACTTTATGAGGCGCAGCGCTGCCCGGCCCTGGAGACTAAAACGTCCCTGCTGCTCTCCCCCTCATTTCTGGGCCATTGACCCCCATTTCCCTTCCCCACACCCAGCTGCTCACCTAAGGCTTTCTGAGTTTCCCCTGGCGTGCTGGGAATGCCCTGGGCCTGGTGGACAGCTCAGCTCGCCCTACAGAGCCCTGAACCCTGGCGCTCACCTTTTCTTCTTTGAATGGCCCTTTTCACCACCATCCCCAGGAGCGCCAGTAGCATAAGGCCCAGGATGGAAGGGATCAGAATGTGAAATGCGTGCTCTTCAGAACCAGAGGGTTCGCGGTTGAAGGTTCTGAGGAAGGAAATGAAAGGAAGTGAGGGAGGTAGGAGTCTTGAGTGAGCAGTTTTTTGAAAATTGTCTCACCGGTTTGTCCCGTAGTATTAAGAATCCACTTAATAATGTCCCTTAGTATTAAGAATCCACCACTTCGCTGAAAAAAAAAAAGAAAAAGAAAAGAAAAGCCTTGTCTATGGAGTCAGGAAATCTGGGTCCAAATGCAGAGTCTGCCTTTTACTGGTTGTGTTGTTGTTGTTAAGTGCCGTCGAGTCGGTTCCGACCCATAGCGACCCTGTACAGGGTTTCCGAGGGTGTAAATCTTTACGGGAGTAGAAAGCCTCATCTTTCTCCCGCAGAGCAGCTGGTAGTTTCGAACCGCTGACCTTGCCCGATTCGTAACCACTACGCTACCAGAACTCCTTAGTGGTTGAGGGGTCTTGAAAAACCTGGAAAAGTCAGTCCTGACCTCTGAGCCTTGTATTCTTAAGTGGGGATAGTAAAACTTGTATCGCAGAACTGTTAGGAAGATGAGATAAAATCATCACAAGAATTTAGGTCTATACCAGTTGCTGGGACTCATGGTGACCCCAACTGTGTCTGAGTAGGACTGTGCTCCTTACAGGTGTTTCAATGACTGAGTTCTGGGACTTATATCACCAACCCTTTCTTCAGAGGCTCTTCTGGCTAGACTTGAACCTTCAACCTCTTTCCTTTCAGTTAGCAGTGGTTATGTGCCATGGAGTTGGTTCCCACTCATAGCGACTCTGTATAGGGTTTCCGAAGCTGTAAATCTTTACGGGAGCAGAAAGCCTCATCTTTCTGCCTTGCAACAGAGGGTACTCTCAAATCGCTCTCCAGTGATTCGTAATCACTACACTACCAGAGCTCCTTCAGTCAGTAGTGGGGCACATTAACTGTTTGCATCACCCAGGGACTCTACACCTGGTGTATAGCTTGTTATTGTTAAGTACCTTCCAAATGGTTCTTATTCATAGCCACCCTGTATAGGGTTTCTGAGGAGCAGCTGGTCTTTTTGAACTGCTGACCTTGTGGTTAACAGTCCAGTGCTTATCCTACAGCACACCAGGACACCTTCAAAAAGGTTTTTTAAAAACATAGCAAGGCTACGCTGCATATATATTAGTCCCCTTCCAACTTCTGCATCTCAATTTCCTTACAAGATTATTGCAAGTATTTAATTAGCAAGTATTTAAAAAGCTTAGTTAGCTTCCTGTAACTGTAATGTGTTTTTGAAAAGATATTTTTTGTTGTTGTTGTAGTTCTCATGGTGTTCCCTCTCCCTGAAAGACCTTTCCTGAATCTTCTTTATTGATGTTTATATTCCTTAGTCACCTGTGCTAAAGTCCTCTTTTCTTCCCCAATCATGGCAAAGCCAGAATCAGTTTTTGTGTGCTGTTTGTCCAAATTTTGTGTTCAATTCATCACATCTCTTACCACAGTTAAACTTGCATTAACCTGGGTATTTTGCATGTTAGCTTCTTTTTATATGTTTAGGAAATAGTCTAGAACATAGTTGTTAAGTGCTGTTGAGTCTGTTCCGACTCATAGAGACCCTGTGTAGGGTTTCTGAGACTTTAAATCTTCGAAGGAACCGAAAGCCTTATCTTTTCTCTTGCAGAGCTGCTGGCAGGCTTGAACCGTGAACCTTGTGGTTTGCAGTCCAGTGCGTATCATATGGAGCCACGAGAGATTCAGAGAAGGTTTGTTATATTACCGTCAATTCTTTAACTGGTATGCCAATGTGATTTACTGAACCAGGAAACAGGAGTTTGGTTCTCTTTGAAACTACTTGTATCTCCTGACTTCCTTATCTATAAAATCAAATGATGTTTAAAGTCACTAGCTATAATAATAAGTTTATATTTTGCTAAGCAAAAGAAATTCCAATTATTGTAGAGGGTTTTTTGGAGTCTTGGTGGCACACTGGTTAAGCACTCCGCTGCTAAACAAAAGGTCAGTGTTTTGAATCCACCCCTGAGAGAAAGATGGGGCAATCGGCTTCTGTAAAGATCACAGCCTCGGAAACTCTTGGGCTGTAAAGTAGTTATGAATTGGAACCCATTCAACAGCATTGAGTAGGTAGTGGAGTCCTCTATAATGCTGCCCTCTAGTGGTCACTTTTGGACTTCTGGTATGGTATGACTTCTGTAGGATCAGCACCTGATGGTGAACCACAAGGTTGGCAGTTCAAACCCACCAGGCTCTCCTTGGATACCCTATACAGGGTTTCTGTGAGTCAGAACCAACTCAACAACACTTAACAATAACAAGTGGTAAATTTTAGCACTTCCCTGCACTGCACCCAACTTTTAGACCTGTGTGCTGTTTTATGGAAATACAACGTGAGTCATACATGTTATGTAAATTTTCTAGATGCCACATTAAAAGTGGTTCAGAACAGAACCAGGACTCCTGTTTCTTAGATCAGGAAACAGATGAAAGTGTAAGTAATTTTAATAGAACATGCTATTTAGCTTTATTGTTAAGTGCCGTTGAGTCGGTTCCGACTCATAACTACCTTGACCAGTCTTACACGGTCCGCAACAACCTTGCATAGAGTTTCTGAGGCTGTAAATCTTTGCAGGAGCAGAAAGCCTCATCTTTTCCTGTGGAGTGGTTGGTGGGCTTGAACAGGTGACCTTGTGGTTCACAGTCCAGTGTTTATCCTGCAGAGCCACTATGCTCCCTGTTATTTAGCATAATATACCTAAAATATTCTCCTTTCTGTGTATAATTGACATCTTTTGTATATGTACAATTGTATATATGTAATTGACAAACTTATTACTGAAATATTGAGCAATACTTCTTCTCACACTAAGTCTTTAAAACCCGGATCTCAATTCATACCAGACAGATGTCAAGTGCTCAGTTTTCATATGTGCCTACTGGCCACACTGACCAGTACAGCTTTATAGTGAGCAGTCTTAATTCTCACTGCAATTAGGAGCTCTGGTGTAGTGGTTATGAATCGGGCTGCTAACCTCAATCAAGGTCGGCAGTTCAAAACTCCCAGCTGCTCCACAGGAGAAAGATGAGGCTTTCTGCTCCCGTAAAGATTTACAGCCTTGGAAATCCTGTGCAGGGTCACTATGAGTCAGAACCAACTCCACGGTACTTAACAACAACAACAGAGAGCATTAGAAAAGTGTCACTCTTGAGCTCCATTCTTGAGAGTCTGATTAAATGGCATAGTGGTGGCTTAGATGTTTTTTCTTCTTTTGTTTAAGATTCTCCCATGGTAATTTTGATAACACAACAGTTAATACTCACTGACCCAAGCCCTGGTATTTTCAATGACCTCATATGCATGTGAAAGCTGGGCAGTGAATAAGGAAGACCATTGAAGAATTGATGCTTTTGAGTTATGGTGTTAGAGGAGAATATTGAAATTGCCATGGGCTGCCAAAAGAACCAACTGATCTGTGTTGGGAGAAGTGCAGCCAGAGTGCTCTTTGGAGGCCAGGATGACCAAACTTCGTCTCTCATACTTCGGACATATTGTCAGGAGGGACCAGTCACTGGAGAAGGATATCATGTTTGGTAAGGTGGAGGGTCAGAGAAAAAGAGGAAGACCCCCAGTGAGATGGATTGGCCAAGTGGCAGCATCAATGGGCTCAAGTGTGGCAACAATTGTGAGGTTGGCCCAGGATTGGGCAGTGTGTCTTTTTGTTGTGCATAGGATCACTATGAGTCGGTACTGGCTCGATGGCATCTAACAACAACAACTTGTAGAGATCAGTCCTAGGAGGAGATAAATGAAGTATCAGTGAGATTAAGTGGCCTGCCTACCATCCCAGAGCTGCTTGTGATAGTGAACTCAGGCATCAGAGCCACACTCTTAATTATCGTAGTCAGTGTGGAAGCTGTGCATGTGGAAAGGGTTGTTTTGTGCTATAAATTGTGTAAGAGTATGTGTTTTGTGTTTTAGATGTTGTTCTCATTTAGTATTTCCTCAAGGAGCTCTGGTAGCATAGTGGTTACGAATCGGGCTGCGAATCGCAAGGTCAGCAGTTCAAAACTACCAGCTGTTCCGCGGGAGAGAGATGAGGCTTTCTGCTCCCGTAAAGATTTACAGCCTCGGAAACCCTGTACAGGGTCACTATGAGTCAGAACCGACTCTACACACATAACCATCACCACCGTCGAAATAGGCATGAATGAATATTGACATTATTAAAAGTTTTGAGACTCCTTCACTGGCATGGGGACATTGGTAAATGGGTTTTGTTAATGGAGCTTGATGTGCTATATTCACAGGCAGTCTGTAGCATTTCAGAGTAGTCTTCTAGAGAAAAAAACAGGAAGGGTTTGTGGTACCTTTAATTTGCTTGGTATGACTTTTCTATCCAGAGTCTTCATTTCCACCAAGTGATTGGGTAGGACTATGCAAATAAGGTATACAGGGCTCTAAGGCTGGGATTGGTTAATTTTGCACTCCAGCTCGGTTTAAAAGGAGCCATCTCAGAAGCAGAGATGGAAGATCCAGGACCATCGAAGGAGGAGCTTGAGTGGAGTGTGAGAAACAACATGAGGTGGTGACATGGAAAGACAGAGCAGCTTCAGGCTTTAGGCCCATGGACTGGGTATAGTTGAGTACTAACAGGCAGCAGACTGGCTTGCAGAATGTGCCCTTTGGGCATTTACAGACTGACTAAAGAAACTTTGTATCACTTGCCCAAGCAGGGCAGAGACCAAGGGGCCACATGGCTGAGAGGCTGAAAATAAAAGTGAGGCGTGCCTGCAGTATGGCAGACAGAAAGCATTCTTGACTAGAGAACTGCTGCATCCTGAGTTGATTATGATCCTGAATTGTACCCTGTTCACTTCCCTAAAAAACTCCATAATCATGAGTATTGTTATGAGTTCTGTGTGGCCATTGCAATGGATTATGGAACCCAGATGTGAAGCAGAGAGTGCTGTGGGAGGGATGGTTGGTGTCAGAATGGGTTAAACAGTTGTAAAGTGGAAGCATGTCTGACTAATTCAAAATTGGCTTTGGAGTGATTTTGAATGATCTTTCCCCCTTGTGAAGCCAGGGGAAGTCAGACATGGTTCCCACATAGTTTACTCAGCTTTCTCATGTTAGACGGTGCAGGAGGATGTCAAAGGACCTCCTAACTGTAGCCTACTTTGCCAGAGAATTAGCTCATCGTGGCTCACAGAAGCTCCTTACCTCTGTCTGTGGGACCTAATTTGATGGTTGTAGCTGACCGGCTGGGGCCTGACCTGCTCCTCCCGAGATGAGGTCTTTGAGACTGTCATGGTTGGCCCGAGTGTTGAGGGCTTATCAGCTGCCACTGAAGATGTTCTGGAAATTGGAGGGTGGTAGGTGTTTGAGGTGTCGGGGGGCGGGAAGTGGACTGAAGAAGTCTGGGTCCTCAGAGATCGCGTGGTTACTGCAGAAGATAGCAGGAGAAAGTAACCTTCCACTTCCATATGTACACTCACTCTAGCAGGATTGGGTTGCCATCTCTTCCCCCAGCACACCCTTCTTCCCTTTTACCCAGACCACCTTTGTTCTTGCAGGCCTCATGATCTACAATGCCTTCTAAGCAGAGGAGTATTTATGGGGAAATAGCAACTCTGGCAATTAATTTAAAATGACTGAATGATCTCTCACAGCTGATGATGGGAATTGCAATGGTGAATAGAAACTGCTCATTGGCATCCCCTTTCAAGTGGCAAGCAGGGCATGTGCCATGCCCTAGATACACCCCTGCTTCTTAGCATGTCATCTACACCTAGTAAATTCCTAGTATTTGCTTCAAATGCCATTTCCTGTAGGAAACCTTCCTGACTTCCCAGGCAGAATGTCTCTGTTTCCTCTGTGTGTGGGGAAACCTTGTTCATAGTTCTATGCCCACTATGCCTTGTGCCATATTTGTGGGCTCATCATTTGTCTCTGTCCCACATCTATCAGCCATAACTCTGGGTTTATGTCATACTCAGTTGTGCTATCCCACTTGGCACCTAGGGAGGTGGGGCCCTTTAGCGCAACGGCGTTCAAGGTTTTTAATGTGAGGTTTCTGATGGGAATATTGTATGTCAAATGTGTTTGAAAATTGGAAGCCATTTAAAAATGTAAAGGTATGTATGATCCTCCTTGATCTTTTCACTGAAAGATAGAATTGTTTAAATCGCTGGAAGCCAGCAGGTAGAAGACAGCTCTGTGGAGAGCATGAGGCATGGGGACTTCTGACTGGGAAACCAGCCCAGTCTTGGTGTGGGCAGTCATCCAAAAAAAGATTTTGTGAATGAAGTACAAATTCCATTGATTCTGATGCTACCTGGTGGTGATATTTTATTTCTACAAGTAGTGCCTGCTGTGCTGGCTGGATTAAGTGCTGTCAAGTTGGTTCAGACTCATAGCGACCCTGTGTAGGGTTTCCAAGGAACGACTGGTGAATTTGAACTGCTGACCTTGAGGTTAGCAGCCCAGTGCTTGTCCTACAGTGTCATTCTTAAAGGAGGACATGGAAGGCTGGTGTCAAGGAAGTACCCTGTAGTAAGGCAGGGAAACCCATGCCTGAGACGCAGCTTTGCTCTGTCAGCCACTCAGTGATGTCCTCTCTCCATCCACACTGTCATTGTCAGTGCCCCCAGCTACTCCCTGAGCTCTCCCATCCTAGCTTTGGTGAACTGACCTTTGGATATGAATGCTGAAGGACTGTCATCTTCAGGCATGTGGAACCAAGGGGGTATAGGAACAGTTGTTGAGTGTAGAAGTCTGTGAAACCATCCCGGAGGCTCAGGTGCCGGCTCCTCCTCCCAGAATGGATAATACTCTATTGGAGGCAAGAGGAAGACATTGGTGGGCTTGAGGTAGGAGGGGACTGAGGTCTGAAGACTGGATTGTTGGTGCCTGTTGAAGCTTACTCAACCAGGATGGATGGCAGGACCCACCAGAGAAGCAGAAAAGGAACTGGGCTGGTGGTTCTCATGAAGGAATACTCTCTCCCCTAACCTCATTCAACATTTCCTGCAAAACTCTCAGAAGCCACTGGGATTTGAGGCTGTGAATTAGTGTTGTATGTATGCGGAGACACCAGTGGAGCCAAGGAGAAAGGCAGGATTCAGGAGACATAAGGGATGGATCATATCACAAAATAACAACTTTGGCCTTGGAAAGTATTTTTCCTCATGCTGATCTCACATGGGATAAAAATTATGTCCTTTTGGTTCCAGTATTCTCTAGTCTCGGAACGTCTAATCTTCCCCCAGACCCATGGCCCGAATAGGATGGCCAATGCAAAGAGTGAACTAACTTGTTTCTTTTATACACTTTGAAGAGAAAATTAAGTTAATTGATGCTATGAGATTTCAACTGTGTGGATCGCAACAACACAAGAGGCTGGGGAATTGGTACACCTGGATGATTGTTGAAGCCTCTCCAAGTGAAAACATTCTCGGGGTACGTACCGCTGATGCTGAGGGTGATTTGCTGGTTCTTGCCTCGGTCTGTGTTCATGCCTATCCCACAGGCATACTCTCCGCTGTCACTCTCAACCAAGTCTGTCATCTCCACTAAGAACAGATTCTTGTCTGGATACACCTTCTTGGTGACTCGGTTCTGGTATTCTTTCTTGACAAAGGTCCCACTGGACACTATGGTGTTACAACCTTTGGATCCAGTCATCTCCCGGCACAGATAGACCCTCGTGTACTTTTCAGGCAGTGAGCACGTGAAGGTAATGGACCCTCCTAGTTCTCCCTCCAGGTCAACTTTTGGGAGAATCTTTAGAGCGTTTGATACTGAAGGGAGAGAGAGTTAATGCAGAGGAAATCCCATCCTCAATGAGATCTTAATCCCAGCCACATCCCCATCTCCAGTACTAAATTCAACCCAAGCCCTGGTTTCAGCACAGTCTTGCCCCAGTCCCAGTCCCATCACCATTATCAGCCCAGACTCAGCCAGTCCTTAGCCTCAGCCCTATGTAAACCTCTAGCTTTAGGCTTCTTCTCAGCCTTTTGCTACCCTAACTCCATGCACAACCTCAGTTCAGCTTTATGTCAGTCTACAACGCTATGCCTAGTCCCAGCTTGTACTAGCCACACCTCTCCCCAGCCTCAGCCTCATCACCAAACCCAAACCCATAAGGACCCAGACACCAACCCCCAGAGCATATAATTCAAATACCACCAACTCCAATGAGAGGTGCTATGCCATGGATGACCTCAAACAGCACACAACCCCCAAATGACTTTCGGGTGGTGTTGGGAGGCATCGTGTGGGTTATGCTGCAACAGGTTTACCTTTCCACTTTTGTTTAGGTCCCTGGGTGGTGCAAACAGTTTGTTCTCAGCTACTAATTAAAAGATTGGCGGTTCCAATCTGTGCAGTGACACCTTTAAAAATGACCTGACAATCTAGTTCTGTAAGATGACAGCCACTAAGGATCCTGTGGAGCTCAGTTCTACTCCAAAACATGCGGGGTCTTTAAGAAAGCTGAATCACAATGGACTCCATGGCAATAGGGTTTTGTTTTGCTCACACCCATTCAGCTAAACCATTCGTCCGTAGTTGTATTTATTCCATCGGTGAGCTAGTATTTATTGAATAGTTGATATCACTCTCTTCACAGATGGAGCAGATGACTAGGTATACCAACACAGTGTAAACGTGGTGTATTACAGAACAATGTCTTAAATTCCCTGACAGAGATAGCTTAGGGATCCTTGGAAGTATCAAGCAGTGGCACCTGACCTAGACTGTTGTATAGTTTGAGGAAGGGTTCTGGAAGAAATGATGTCTAAGTTGTGACGTGAATTGGGCACGGAGGGCAGTTGAGAGAATGGTGACTGCCTTCACTGAGGGAGTGAGCGAGGGGACAGAAGGGGAGAAGCAAGTGCATGTGTGCATACTGTATGCATGTGGGAAGGGAAAAGAGTGCTGAATCATCTCTCACTCTTGGCGCTTGAAACCGCAGTTCATGAGGCCTTGTCCTAAGCAGGCCTGTGTTGTAGCTGAGAGAAGACATGTCTAATTCGGTTGAATCAGCTAGAGAAGTGGGTCAAGTTGTGTAGGAATTTCAGCTATAGTAGGTGGGTCCCCATCTTTCTGGTCTGCATCTTTCTGGCAAGGAGGTTCATAGAGTAAAGGACACAGGGTGGAGGAGAAGAAAGTCTTCTTGGCAGTGAGGACAGCTCAGCTAAAGGTTCGTTGTGAGGGAAAACAGCATGGTCATGGAGTTCACAAAGCTTCTGAAATTCAACCACAGGGCTCACAGTAAGAGCTTAGTCAAATAAAGAAAGTCAAGAAACACTCAGGAAAGAGACAGGGATTGAGGCTTCTGGAGAAGCCAGTAGGTCTGAGGAAGTCATTCCAGTCTGGGGGAAAGGAGATAAAAGCAAACACGCGAACATGGAATGTAGTAAGACAAGGGCTAGGAAGAAAGCATTTGCAGGAACATGTTGGCAGAAGGAGTCGAAGAGGCAGTGAGAAATGTAAGAGATGATGTGGAAACCCTTACATGAATAGCCAGTCACGGCTCTACATCTGCTGAAATTTGTGATGGCAATGGAAGGGCGACATTATGCAAAGCACATGAGCCAGTTTAAGGGATGAGAGGACCCTCCTGTGCCTCTAGAATGCTCACACACACCTGTGTGTAAAGCCCAGTTGAGGGGGGATGTACAGGGACATTTATGGCTGAGAACCTAGGCAGAGTGGACCATGAATGCTGCTTCCCCCAGAACAAGAAATTATAATAATAAAGATCCTAATAACAGAGTTTGGTCTTCTTCCACTTAGGTTGGGATTCTGGGTAAGTCCCAGACTTCCTCATTGCTCAGCTAGTGAGACAAAGCACAAAGAGAGCTTCTGGGCACACTGAGTTCTGGTCAGAACAAGGGGGCACTAGTTGGCGATCTGAAAATGACCAAAACCTCAGGAGAAAGTAACCAAACTTCCCTGAAGTTCCTAATAGTTAACAACATATGTCGTCTTAGAAAGGGATTTTTCCTAAATTAATGAACTGAAACAGTTCCAATCTCCTGGTTTAGAATTCTAAAATAGCACAGTGTGCTTAAGAGTCATCTTGCAGGGGTGGTATGGGCAGCCATCTAAGATGCAACTATTCCCGTGTGGAGCAAAGAAGAGTGAGAAAATCAAAGATGCATGGAAACAGTTAGCCCAGTGAACTCACGGACCATATGAACCTTAATTTCTAGAATCTGTAGACCAGGAGAACGAGATGCTGCTTACCTACCAACACCAACCCTTCTGAAAGGGGGTCAAATTAGGAAGTCCCAGATAGAGAGGAAGAAAAATGTGGAACAAAACTTACCATCATAAGAAAGACCAGGTTTACTGGTAGGATAGAGACTGGTGGAACTCCCAAGACTATGACCTTCAACACCCTTCAGGCCTAAAACTGAGCTCATCCATGTGATACAATTTTCAACCAAACAACAGACAAGTTACAAGGTGAACAGGACTCCTGGTGTGGCACTGTAGGATCAGCACTGGACTGTGAGCCACAGGGTCAATGACCTTATACAGGGTCACTATGAGTCGGAACTGACTCAATGGCACATAACAATGAGACAACACTAACATAAGGTGAGCTGTAACACTAGGGAAAGAGCTCTGGTAGCGTAGTGGTTACGAATTGGGCTGCGAACCACAAGGTCAGCAGTTCAAAACTACCAGCTGTTCCACAGGAGTAAGATGAGGCTTTCTGCTCCCGTAAAGATTTACAGCCTCGGAAACCCTGTACAGGGTCGCTATGAGTCGGAACTGACTCCACAGCACATAACAACATAACACTAGGCAGGAATACATTCCTTAGAATAATCAACCATTCAAGATCAAAAGAGCAGCATTTGCCCAAGAACAAAGTTTGGAAGACAGGAAGGGTTAATAAAGAAAGAGGAATGGAAATAGTAAACCCAGGGAGGAATTGGTATAAGTGATATTACATTGTGAAGATTGCATGAACAAAATGTGTACCAATTGTTGAATGGAAAACTGATCTGCTCTGTAAACCTTCACTCAATTCACAAAAAAGGGTTAAACAAACATAGTAATCTGAGAACTTGCCAAGATGCAGATGATCAAGATGCAGATGATTTATCCTACCCTTAGGGATGATGACTACATCTGTCTAGGATGGGTGGTGGTGGTTATGTACCATGGAGTCGGTTCTGACTCATAGCGACCCTATACAGGGTTTCCGAGGCTGTAAATTTTTATGGGAGCAGAATGCCTCATTTTTCTCCTGTGGAACAGCTGGTAGTTTCGAACTGCTGACCTTGCAGTTCACAGCCCAATTCATAGCCACTATGCTACCAGAGCTCCTTGTCTAGGATGGAGACATCTGTATTTTTCAACAAATGCCCCAGGTATCCTTGCAGTTCTACAATTCTGGGCTATAGAACTACATTTGCAAATGATTCTGGGGAAGAAAGGGAGGAATAAAGGTCCCTAAAGAAACAAATCTCTTTAATGTTAATACTGCAAAAAAAGCTCCAAAGTGACATTAATCTCTGAATTGATGGCTTGATTTTCAGAGGTGATGGTAGGGGCAAGAGAGAGAGGTGGTTTAAAAAGTCACTCTCAATCAATGTCAATATATATGTTGTTGTACATGCTGTGGAGTTGGTTCTAACTCATAGCAACCCTTATGGGGTTTCCAAGGAGAAACTAATAGGTTTTGAACTGCCGACCTTATGGTTTGAAGTCCAGTGCTGATCCTACATCCCACACCAGGAGTCCAAAAATATATGTGTGGAACATGAAAAAATAACAACAAAAAACCCTGTAATTTTCATAATGCAAAATAAAGTAAACCTTTCTGAGGTTTTGGCTGGTGGGATGCTCTGAAGATAGTCGTTGGCTGTTGTGTAATGAATGGAGGGAGTAATGATGAGAACCTGATTAATTCAAGTCATAGCAGAATCTTGGGAAATGGAAAGCTGGCCTGAGATTTCTGTATTTGTCTAAAGGGACATGGTCTGCAATTTGTGCTACATACATTGGGCTCAGTGGACTAGACCTACCCCTCAGATTTGCATAATTGGGACAGAAGTACAAATGAAAACCCAAATACCATATGTGTAAATGTTTTAAAGTTATAGACAAAACTAGTAAACTGTTGAGTAAAATATGTTTTGTATCTGGTGTGGCGTTGCGGGCTAATGCGCTGGACTGCAAGGTTGGTTTGAACCTCAAGATTGGTGGTTCAAACTCACCAGCCACTCCTTGGGAACCCTATACAGGGCTGCTATGGTCAGAACTGACTTGATGGCACTTGGAACAACAACCCTTGTCTTGTCAAATTCACATACTCCTTGCATTACCACTCCAGAACATGGCTCTTCTGTGAAAACCAACCCCAGAGTTCATGCTCCTGGCGTCAGGTCTAACTTCCTTGTCCTCTTACCTCTGACCCCTGACCACATCCCAAAGGTCCTACTATACATGACAGACATCTCAGCTTGTATGTGCAAGTTCCATCTACACCCCATCTCTTCTTTAAACAGCTGTATGTGGTCACATTTTTGTAGGATGCAGGGTCACCCTCAGAAGTAAGACCCAGGGTAGAGGTTCACACAGTCACTGGAAGTAGGGTGGAGTCATTTGGACAGGAAAGTCAAGATCTAGAAGAGGAAGTATGGGCTGGTGAATTCTGTACCCTATAGGAATGGACATGACTGTAGAAAATACAAATAATCAGTGGGTGCTCCAAAGTGTGAGGGTCCATGGCAGAGATCCCGCTGGCCCAGCAAGAATGGGGAGACTGCTCAGGACAAACAGTTGTTGGGGTCCATAGAATTAGTTCCAACTCATAGCAACCTTTTCAATAACAGAATGAAATGGTGTCTGAGCCATACCATTATCATGGTCATTGTTATGTAAGGCTGAAGTGGTACCATTTGAGGAACCCTTCACTCTTGTGGCTCTTTCATTCTTCCTCCCAACTATTCTTCCCTCTGAGATTCAAACTTAACCATACATAGACCGTGCCCATAGTCTCTGACTATGTCTCACGGTATCTGCAATCTCAGTAAAATTCCATTCTTTTGAGCTTTTCAGTTTTCAAGTCAACAAATATTTATTGTGTTTCTTCTATATTCAAGGCATCACAAAGAATACAAATCACAACAAACCATTTTTACCCTTAAGGAGCTTTCCACTTAAGTAACAAAATAAGATGGGTCCACATTGATCCATATTACAAGGCAAAATGTGATCAGTTGTTGGAGCTTGGTAGGTGGGACTCAGAAAGTGTACAATAAGGAGAAGGAGTTTGAGATGGTCTTTGAAGGACCCATCAAAGGAATGGTGAGACAAAAGATGTTCTTAGAAGAAGAACTAACATGAGCAGAAAGAACATGGTAGCTCAGAATGTGTTCGGGAAGATTCTTGTTTCATGGAAGGTTAGAAAGTGCCTGGGGGAGTACTATAAAAAGTGGATGCTTTGGAGAAATTTGTATTTAATTCAGTAGGCAGTGGGAGTATTGTAAGGTTTGGAGGAAGGGCAATCCCATAATTAGAGTTAAGGTTTAAGAAGATAAATCTTCAAGATTAATCATGCAGGTTGGTTTAAAGGAAGTAGGAAAGATAATGAAGAAATTAATCGTGTATCTTAGCTTTCCTTTTCATTCCTTCTGCTTCCATTCTAATAGAGGCTGTCATTGCTTCTCAGCTTAATAATTGTGGATCTATCAATTATACCCACCACCACCTGTTGCCATGGGATTGATTCTGACTCTTAGCAACCCATGTCTGTTAGAGTCTAATTGTACCCCTTAGGGTTTTCAGTGACTGCTTTTTCAGAAGTTGATGGTCAGGACTTTCTTCCAAAGTGCCTCTAGATGGACTTAATATACAACCAACCTGTTGTCAGCCATGATTTTTTCAGTCATCTCATATGCATGCAAAAGTATGATAATGGAAAAGGAAGACAGAAGAAGGACTGATGCAATTGAACTGTGGTAATTGGCAAAGAATGTTGAATATACTGTGGACTGTGATAGGAATAAATAGATCAGTCTTTAAAGAAATAACAATCAGAATGCTCCTTAGAAGAAAGGATGGAGAGACCTCTACTCACTTATTTTGGACATGTCTTCAAGAAAGATCAATCTCCTGAAAAGCACATCATGTTTGGTAGAGAATCAGCAGACACGAGAAGTGTTTCTTAATGAGCTGGATTGACACAACAGTCACAAGAATGGACTCGGACATACCAGTAACCATGTTGTTGTTGTTAAGTGCTGTCAAGTCAATTCCGACCCATAGTGACCCTCTATAGGGTTTCCAAGGAGCAACTGGTGAGCTTGAATCACCGACCTTGCAGTTCAAACAACTTTGCAGTCTGATGCATTAGCCCACAGAGCCACACCAGTAACCATGAAGGACCAGGAAACATTTATTCTAGGATCCACAAGATTGCCATGAGATGAAGCCAATTTGATGGTGACAAACAACAATAACAGAAATTAACATGAATTGGCCAATTATTGGATCAACAGTAACCGTAAATGAAAAAAGGTGTTAAAAAGCCATTCTGACATTTTGAGGCTGTTGTCAGAGACAGTTAAGACAAATGGAGTAAGCTGCTTGGCATGGTGACCAAGGAGAAGCTTAAGGTAAAGCGCAGAGCATGTAGCATTTTGGATTTTGGTGAAATTCAAGTGAGAGTGCCCAGAGGTCAGTTTCATTTCCTGAGATATGGTACTCAGAAAATAGAGTAGGGCTGCAGAATGTATTAGGAACACTTCATGTAGAGTTGAAAGTTGAAAATTCAAGAGAGAAAGAGACCCAAAGAAAGAGAACATGAACATGGAAGTAAGAAGAATGAACTTTGGAGGCACCTGTGACAAGATCTCATATTAACAGGCTATCATTTCTGGGAGAGGAGTTCTGGTGTGGCGCTGTGGGTTAATGCACCAGACTGCAAAGCTGTTTGAACTTCAAAGTCGGCAGTTCAAGCTCACCAGCTGCTCCTCAGAAACCCTGTATAGGGTCGCTGTGGGTGGGAATCGACTCGACAGCACTTAACAACAACAACAACAAATCTGGGAGATATGATAATCCCTTCAGCCTTTATGAATGAACACCTGACCCGAATAGAAGTATCTAGAATGGAGCAACAACACTGGCATAGGGTGGAGAAGACCTCCATCCTTGCAGTGCCCTAGGTATTGGTTTGCAGTGGAATGTGTCCAGAAACATCTTAGCTGAAGATGCCTGGCAACTTCTGTACGTGTGGCCAATTCAAATCTCGTAAGAAGTCTGAGGAATTGTACTTCCTCATAGCACTTACCTGGCAGGAAGTAAAGTGACCAAATCCAGAGGTTCATGGCTCCTTCCCAAGCAAGATCTCATCTGAGAGCCTCTGGAGAGGGACAAAGACCCACTGCCCAACCCAGAACCTTTTGTGATCTGAAATAGTTTTCTGGCCCTCACGAAAAGCAAGGTTTGAAAATGAGGAAATGAAATTTGTGTTGTTTGCTAACTAGTGTTATACTAAAAAGAAAATATTAGCAAACCACAGCGGAAGTCAGCAATTGAGAAAACATGTGTTGAGTGAGGATGAGTTTCTAAGGTTCAGAGGCTCCCCAGGCAACTACCAGATCTGCTATTTCCTTGTCTTCATCACTTTGTCTTAAGAGTCCCTCCTATGCTTTAGCTTTATCTATAGGAGTAAGAGTCATTTGCTTTGTCTCTCTGTCTTTGGGATAAAGGAGCCCTCTCATTATTTTTCTCTCATCGAGGATGTATGGATAAGAGCTTGAACCTTAAGTCAGAAGATGCCAGTTGTAGTCCTTACAACTAAAAATAAATAAAATCAAAACAAAATCATTACTGTTGAGCTGATTCTGATGCATGGCGACCCCCATGTTACAAAGTAGAACTGCTCCATAGGATTGTTTTGGCCGTCATCTTGATGGAATCAGTTCTCCACGCCTTTCTTTCGTGGTACTATGTGGATTTGAATCACCAACCTTTAGGTTAGTAACTTAACACAAATTGTACCACCCAGTGATCTGTTGTAGTTCTCATCAGCCAACAATGAACTCATTTGACAAATGTTTTGAGTAACTACTGGACTTTGAGCTATTTACTGCCTTTCTTAGAGTCTTAATTTCTTTATCTATAAAATGAAGAGGGGGCTAGGAGGTCCCTGAAATTCCATCCTGTGAAATATCATTCCTGAGGTCTTACCACTGCTCATCCAGCATCTCAGTTTAGTCGTCCCTTTTCTCCCAACCACCTCCATAAGGCATTGCCTTTTCATGGGGGACTTGTGATAGACCACTTGGCTGAGTGATATTTTATGATACTGAGGGTTCAGGGGGTAAAACCCCATGAGCCATGGGAAGAGAAAGATGCAGAGGTAATTGGTAAGATATCTTGGAAAGATCTGACTTCTAGTCCTGGCTTAGAACTTTCTGGCTTTGAGAAAGCCTTCTTTATAAAGTAGGGCTGATCCCTGTCCAGCCTGTCTTTCATGAGGCCAAGGAAAAATCTCAGACATGGAAGTACTTCAAGCATTTTTACATGAGGAAATATGAATAGTTCTTACTTATGGGGAGGATTCCCAGGGGTCGTTCCTGGGTGTTACAAGTGCCTAGGTTTTTAGGCCCCAACTCCAGGCATTGCAGCCTCTTGTAACTACAGAGGATTTAGACTATGTTTGCAGGAGGTGTGCCTGACTCCCTCAGGCCTCCTCAGTGTACTGTGCACTCACCCATGCACCCCAGATTTATCACATGCTGTCTAGAATGCAAAACAACAACATCTGCAGTGGAAGCTGAATAGGAGGCTCAGAACAGGTGCAGAGGAAGCGTGTGGGGGACAAGCAGTCTGCCCTGACCCATCCCTCTCTGGGTTTCCATATTCCATAACTGGTGTAGTTGCGATTTCTCCAGTCATCAATTACGGAAAGATGTTCAACTGCAACCACTGGCCACTGGTCAGAGTGCCAGAGGCCTCGGCTCAGATCATCCACTAGCCTTCCCTATATGAAGGACTCTCCCCAGTGGGGAGCTGAGCTCTGTGATCCCCTGGGCTTTAGAATGGCCCAGAGAGAAATTGATGGAGAATGAGCAGAGAAAGAACGTGATGTGTATATGACATGAGTGTGGGTGATGTGTGGTGTATGTATGTTACTATGAGTGTGTGGTATATAATTGTGAATGTGTGTGTTGTGTGTTGGATGAGTATGTGAGTGTGTAAAGGTGTGTTGTGAGTGTTTGATGTGTGGTGTGAGACTGTGAGTGTGCATGTGTACATGGTGTGATGAACGTGTATGTGTGTCTATAAAGATCGAGTCCTGGCTACACTATGGCAGGGGCCTGCAAGCCTGGGCTGGAGGCATGTGCAATGAGACTAAGAGTTTTTTCATTTCACATGCAGCCGAAATAAAACCCTTCAACACATCACATTGGGTTGTCAGGAGTTACCACCAGGATTTGCAAACTACCTGGAAGGAAGGAAATGTTTAAAACCTTTAACGTGTTAACTTCTCTAATAAAGCCCATAACTGTGTTTGGTGTCTGAGTTCTGTGTGATCATTGCAATGAATTACTGAACCCAAATAAGAAGCAGAACGTGCTATGGGAGAAATGGTTGGTGACAATTTTTATGCAGACCATGAAAATTCTCCTTGTTTACTGGACTTATCAGCAAGCCCCACCCAGATACAGGCACCTGGCTCAGGTATCCTGTAGTTCCTTATTTCTAAGAACTGAGACCTTATCTATTCCAGGGAAACAGATTTGTCTATCCTTGGGAAAATCATTCCATAGGAACAGGGCTTAGGGTACGTTAAACTTTACAATGAACCTACTTATGACTTTCATAAGTTCCAACCCTATTAGTTTTGAGGTGTCAGGCAATTGGATAAAAACCTATCTGTGTTGTTTTAAGTCTGACCATGTTGTTGTTGAAGAATAGATTTGATGAGTTAGACACTGAAGACCAGAGACCAGAAGAATTGTGGGATGACATTAAGAACATCATACAGGCAGAAAGAAAAATGTCTTTAAGAAGATAAGAAAGAAGGAAACGACCAAAATGAATGTCAGAAAAGACTCTGAAACTTTCTCTCCAGCATAGAGATGCTAAAGCAAATGGAAGCAATGAGGAGGTAAAAGAGCTGAATAGAAATTTTCAAAGAGCCGCTTAAGAAGACAAAGTCAAATATTGTAACAAAATATTCAGAGACCTGGAGGTAGAAAACCAAAAGGGAAAAATGCGCTCAATATTTCTCCAGATGAGGGAACTGAAGAAAAACATAAAGCCTCGACTTGCAATATTGAAGGATTTTATGGGCAAAATATTGGATGATGCAGAAAGCATCAAAAGGAGATGAAAGGAATACACAGAGTCACTGTACCAAAAAGAAGTGGTTGATGTTCAACCATTTCAAGAGGTACATTATGATTAAGAGCCAATGATACTGAATGAAGAAGACCAAGGTGCATTGCAGGCATTGGCAAAGAACAAGGCACCAGGAACTGATGGAATACAAATGGAAAGCTTTCAACAAACTAATGAAGCACTAGAGACACTCACTCATCTATGCCAAGAAATTTGGAAGACAGCTACCTGGTCAACTGACTGGAAGAGACCTAGATTTGTGCCCATTCCAAAGAGAAGTGACCCAGTGGACTGCAGAAGTCATCAGACAATATCATTAATTTATCATACAAGTTAAAATGCTTGAAAATGTACATTGACAGAGAACTGCTAGAGGTTTAAGCTGGATTCAGACCAGGACATGCAATGAGAGATGTCATATGGCTGAAAGCAGAGACTACCAGAAAGGTGTTTACCTTTGTGTTATTGACTATGAAAAGGCTTTCGATAATGTGGATCATGACAAGCTATGGACAACATTTCAGAGAATGAGTATTCCAGAACACTTATGTGTGCTCATGAGGAACCTGTACATAGTGCAAAAGGCAGTTATTTGACTAGAACAAGGGAACACTGAATGGTTCAAAATTAGCAAGGGTGTGTGCCAGAGTTGTATGTTTTCACCATACTATTCAATCTGTCTGCTGAGGAAATAATCCGAGAAACTGGATTATATAAAGAAAAACATGGCATCAGGATTGGAGGAAGATTCATTAAAAACCTTTGATATTCAGATGATACAACCTCGCTTGCTGAAACTGAAGAGGACTTAAAATGCTTACTGATGAAGATCAAAACCATAAGATTCAGTATGGATCACATCTCAATGTAAAGAAAACAAAAATCCTCACCACTGGACTAGTAAATGACATCACAATAAATGGAGAAAAGATTGAAGTTACCAATGACTTGGTTTTGCTTGGATCAACCATCAACACTCATGGAAGCAGCAGACAAGAAATCAAACAACATATTGCATTTGGCAAATCTGCTGCACGAGACCTCTTTAAGGTGTTGAAGAGCAAAGATGTCAGTTTGTGGACTAAGGTTCACCTAACCCAAGCCAAGGTATTTTTAGTAACCTCATATTCATGCAAAAGTTGGACAGTGAATAAAGAAGCCTGCAAAAGAAATGATGCATTTGAGTTATGGTCATGGAGGAGAATATTAAAAGTACCATAGAACAATGTAAGAGACATTGATCATTGGAATAGAATCGAGAATCCAGATATTAACCCAACCACTTACAGCCAAATGATTTTCGACAAAGTGTCTAGGCACATTGCATGGGGAAGAGACAGTCTCTTTAACAAATGGTGCTGACAGAACTGGAAAGCGATATGTAAAAGTCTGAGACCAGACCTTAGCCTCACACCCTATACAAAAATGAACTCAACATGGATTAAAGAT